ATTTCCATTAGGATTGACTGGTTGGATCTCCTTGCAGTCCAAGGGGCTCTCAAGAGTCTCATCCAACACCACAGTTCAAAAGCATCAATTCTTCAGTGTTCAGCTTTCTTTATAGTCCAATTGTCACATCTGTACATGACTACTGGAAAAACCATAGCTTTGACTAGTGCAACAAGAGACCGACCCAGACTTGCCTGTGAGTGTCCAGGAGTCTCCAGAGGAGGTGTAGTCAGCAGTGGCCTGCTGCATGGTTGGGGGCACTGAAAGCAGAAAGGTGTGCATGGGACCTTTTGAAGGAGATCACCATTATCTTCATTACCTCCACTATAGTTTGGCCTCAGGTCAAACAACAGGGAGGGAACACAGTCCTGCCCATCAACAGAAAATTGGATTAAAGATTTACTAAGCATGGCCCTGCCTATCAGAACAAGACCCAGTATTCCCCTTGGTCAGTCTCCCCCTTCAGCCTTGTCTAACTCAGTGACACTAGGAGCCATGCCATGTAGGGCCACCCAAGATAGATGGGTCATGGTGAAGCATTCTGACAAAACGTGGTCCACTGGAGAAGGGAATGGCAAACCACTTCAGTATTCTTGCATTGAGAACCCCGTGAATAGTATGAACAGACAAAAAGATAGGATATTGAAAGGTGAACTCCCCAGGATGGTAGGGGCTCAATGTGCTACTGGAAATCCGTGGAGAAATAACTCCAAAAAGAATGAAGAGACAGCACAAAAGCAAAAAGAGCACCAATTGTGAATGTGACTGGTGATGGAGCTAAAGTCCAATGCTGTAAAGAGCAATATTGCATAGGAACCTGGAATGTCAGGTCCATGATTCAAAGCAAATTGGAAGTGGTCAAACAGGAAATGGCAAGAGTGAACATTGACATTTTAGGAATCAGCAAACCAAAATAAACTGGAATGGTTGAATTTAACTCAGATGACCATTATATCTACTACTGTGGGCAAGAATCCCTTAGAAGAAATGGAGTAGCCACCACAGTCAACAAAAGAGTCTGGAATGCAGTACTTGGGTGCAATCTCAAAAACGACAGAATGATCTCTGTTCATTTCCAAAGCAAACCATTCAATATCACAGTAATCCAAGTCTATGCTCCAACCAGTAATGCTGAAGAAGCTTAAGTTGAACAGTTCTGTGAAGACCTACAATGCCTTCTAGGACCCACACCCCAAAAAGATGTCCTTTTCATTTTAGGGGACTGGAATGCAAAAGTAGGAAGCCAAAAGATACCTGGAGTAACAGGCAAATTTGGCCTTGGAGTACAAAATGAAGCAGGGCAATAGAGGCTAATAGAGTTTTGCCAAGAGAACGTAATGCTCATAGCAAACACCCTCTTCCAAAAACACAAGAGAAGCCTCTAAACGTGGGACGTCACCAGATGGTCAATAGCAAAATAAGATTGATTATATTCTTTGCAGCCAAAGATGGAGGAACTCTATACAGTCAGCAAAATCAAGACTGGGAGCTGACTGTGGCTCAGATCATGAACTCCTTGTTGTCAAATTCAGACTTAAATTTAAGAAAGTAGGGAAAACCACAAGATCATTCAGGTATGACCTAAATCAAATCCCTTATGATTATACATGTGCATGTATAATGTATACATGGCTGTTCTAATCTACATTTTAAAAAATCTTTGCCTTTTCTTTGAAAAGTGTATTTGAATGGTTTTTCCTGAAATCTGTGAAACAAATCCAAGTAAGCAATTTTTAACCTACATCTGGAAAAAAAGCAAAATCGTCCCCAAAATGTCATTTTATTTTTATTTTTTCTAGAAGATTAGATAATGCAGACAGTTTTTTATTACATCATGTATGTGGGTATATATGTGTATACATGAATCCAATAGACATATGCACTTCACATACAAAGTATATACTCACTGTGGATTTTAAAAGCCGTAGATTTCATTAATTGAGGAGTACAATATTATGAGAATTTACTGATGAAAGATTAAAAAATAATTTACATGTTGGTACTTTTTAAAAATTCTGGAGCATGTGTGCTACATAGTCATTTAGACCCACAGCTTAAGTTTCTGCTGAGGAAACAATCAGGTTTTAAAACGGTGAATACTCCGGGGGTCTGCTGGAGATGGCTTATACATACCTATAAAAGCTGGCTACACAAATTTTCAGAGTTTGTACTAGTTAGTTATTAAACACTTACTATTAAATATTAATTATACACATTTACAATAAGTAAATTATACTAAAAGCAAATATCAGTATCAAAACTACTATATCATGCTGATATCTCTAAAGATACTATGTAAATATATTTTTTCTAAGACTTTCTAATTTTGAACATTTTGATCAACTAACCCCTTAGATTGTGCTCCCATAGATATAAAATGAAGACAATAACAGCACAACCTTATCGAATTGTTGTGAAGATTAACAAAATTAACATAGAGCATTTAGTATATGTAATAGTATCTCATTAGCCAATAAATGTTCAAAATAAGTACCATTAATATATGTGGAAATGAAGATAATACTTTGAGAAGATTTTTGGTAGGATATTAATTTAAACAAAAACTACCTAGTTTCACTGTGCAGATGTAGGAACATATTCAAATAAGTACAGCTACAATTTTTTGGCATAAAAGCATGGATGAGGGAGGAGGCGGGAACTGCCATGGCTGCCCTGGTGACGGGCCGGCCATCTTGCAGGAGGCCGGCCTGTGCTCAGTGCGCAGCCGCGTCCTGGGCCTGGGGCTCCGTCAGCCGCGCCGTGTTCCGGCTGCGCCGCCGCTCAGGCCGGCCAGTCAGGGGCGCCAACGGCAGCGGGGTCGGGAAGGTACTCGAAGCCAACCCCTTCTAAACCCCTTCTACCGCTAAGCAAAAAGATCCAGCAGTTGTGCAGGTCTGACCCCGCTGCTTTTGAGTCCTGACTAGAGAAGCGCAGTGAGTTTAGCAAGCAGCCAGTGGAGCATCAAGCAAGGGGACTTTTATCACACGTGTGGAACAGAAGACACTGGGGAAACAGCCTGTGAGCCGAGGATTCAGTAAGGACAGGACTCTCAGCTCAATCTTCAACACTGAGATGGTGAAAGACAAAACTGGCAAAGAAATAAAACAGATTTGGCAGCAGTATTTTGCAGCCAAAATAAGATAACAGTCTACAAAAGAAGAAAATTTTGATTTGGAACAGGGCTTAGTCCTGTCCAACATTTCTGTGTGGTCAACCAAGAAGGGAAGGTTATGAGTTTTTAGTCCGGCGATGGACAGGTACTGAACTCCACTTCACTGCCCTGATAAATATTGAGATCCCAGGGGAAGCTGCGGCCAGTTAGCAGATTTTATATCACTACTGTGAACTTAAGGAAGAAAATGGTATAGTGCTAATGACAGCAGAAATGGGTTCCACATTCTGAATGATGCTGAGGCACAGTGCATGGCCAACCAAGTTCAGCTCTTCTGTGCCAATGATCGAAAACTATGGGTGAGTGGATATCTTTACCTTCAGACCCAGTGAGTTCAAATGTATGTCACCACAGAGTTGAAGCAAGGCAGACATGGAGCCGAACTGAAATGTTCTCAGAACCAGGATAAGACTTAAGGCTGTCAGGTTGGCTTATAGAGTTTTCTACTCAGCCCTGGATGGTCCTGAGCCTACCCAGCCCTTGAACTCTCCCAAGCTCAGTGGCTATAATTAGCCGTCTCTAAGGAGTCGCCCTCTGTGCTTATTGCAAGGAATAGCATGGAGGTGAGCCCTGTTACTTGACATTCAGGAACAAAGATACCCAAACATTCTGATAACTATTTCCCAGCATATTTGAAGTGTCCTTTTCAAGCGTTTGAGATCACATCCAGAGACAATCAAGGATCCACAAGATGGCTGACTTGATCTTATGCACTGTAGGAGTATATTTGTTCTCGGGCCATTTTGACTGCACAGCTCCCAATAATTAGTTCCTTACCTTTATAAACTGTGACAGGATAGTAAGCTTGACGACCTACTGTGGCTAGATATGGTCTTTGCATACTTTTCTCACTTGGTTGGCCAAAGGCATAATCCAGGTATCCTGTTCGACTCTATAACAACCACATATTGCCATCAGGATTAAGATTCTATCTAGATGCTCCAAGAATTGCTGTTAGTGTAGCTGGTTTGGAGTAGCAGTAGACTTCAGGTATATTAAACGCACAGGTACAGTGCCTGCTGCCTGCATATTTTTAAGCCAGAGTTCTGAACTCCACTTCACTGCCCTGATAAATATTGAGATCCCAGGGGAAGCTGCGGCCAGTTAGCAGATTTTATATCACTACTGTGAACTTAAGGAAGAAAATGGTATAGTGCTAATGACAGCAGAAATGGATTCCACATTCTGAATGATGCTGAGGCACAGTGCATGGCCAACCAAGTTCAGCTCTTCTGTGCCAGTGATCGAAAACTATGGGTGAGTGGATATCTTTAACTTCAGACCCAGTGAGTTCAAATGTCTGTCACCACAGAGTTGAAGCAAGGCAGACTTTGAGCCGAACTGAAATGTTCTCAGAACCAGGATAAGACTTAAGGCTGTCAGGTTGGCTTATAGAGTTTTCTACTCAGCCCTGGATGGTCCTGAGCCTACCCACCCCTTGAACTCTCCCAAGCTCAGTGGCTATAATTAGCTGTCTCTAAGGAGTCGCCCTCTGTGCTTCTTGCAAGGAATAGCATGGAGGTGAGCCCTGTTACTTGACATTCAGGAACAAAGATACCCAAACATTCTGATAACTATTTCCCAGCATATTTGAAGTGTCCTTTTCAAGCGTTTGAGATCACATCCAGAGACAATCAAGGATCCACAAGATGGCTGACTTGATCTTATGCACTGTAGGAGTATATTTGTTCTCGGGCCATTTTGACTGCACAGCTCCCAATAATTAGTTCCTTACCTTTATAAACTGTGACAGGATAGTAAGCTTGACGACCTACTGTGGCTAGATATGGTCTTTGCATACTTTTCTCACTTGGTTGGCCAAAGGCATAATCCAGGTATCCTGTTCGACTCTATAACAACCACATATTGCCATCAGGATTAAGATTCTATCTAGATGCTCCAAGAATTGCTGTTAGTGTAGCTGGTTTGGAGTAGCAGTAGACTTCAGGTATATTAAACGCACAGGTACAGTGCCTGCTGCCTGCATATTTTTAAGCCAGAGTTTGTGACACCTGATTTTTTGCCTCTTGGAAGCTGTGTATTTGGAGGGGCTGAATTGTTGCAGTATAAAAAAAATCAACTATTTTATAAAGAGAGGATCAATCCAGATTTGCTTTTTGTTTTTTAAACAACTCTAAACCATGCCAGTATTATATTAATAGAAAAGGTAGGCAGAAGCAAATGTACCCTATTGTATGTGGGGAAAATGTAGCAATAAAATAAAGTCTGGCTTATAAAAAAAAAAAGTATGGATGAATCCTCACAATACATTTAATGTCAGTGATCACAATAGTAAATGTCATAAGGAAAGGAAAATATCAAAAGACAGCAGAAGTGAGAAGCAATTCAGAAAAGTAGTGTAGATAAAAAAAATGATGAAATTATGTTATGAAAGCTCATTATTTCATTTCCATCCCAGGGAGTCACCATCGTCTATCTTTGTTTTTCTTTCCATGCAATTCAAAGTCAACTTTAGCTGCAGTTGACATTGGTAAAGGTCACAGCTGTGGCATCAACTTAATTGGACAAGGATGATTTGTTAATTTTTTTTCCACTTTGGTAGAAATGCCAAAGTCATTTTAGGGCAACAGGCAACAGTGGCCCTATTCAGGAGCTTAAAGGCATCCAAGTGAAAATTGCATTCTGCTTGGTGCCTGGAGGTTTAAAGCAAGGTGGATTTGTTTTCCCTGTTTTTTTTTTTCTGCCAAAAATCTGTTGCAAAGTAATTTCTAAGAACTCTCAAAGAAGTGCACCTGGAATTACCATAGACCAAAGGGTCTCAACCTAGACTGCATTTTTTTAATCACTGGGAGCTTTGCTCACACCTGATGCCAATATTTTCAATTCTATTGTACTCCAGTAGACGTGCAGGGTAGTTTTGGAGATTATTCAAAGCTCCCAGATTATTTATGTTTACAGCCAAGGTTGGGAGGTATTAAAATCTTTACTGTAGCAATAAGAAAAGACTCTCCCAGGTAGCTCACTTGTAAAGAATCTACCTGCCAATGCAGGAGAAACGGGTTCGATCCCTAGAGGAGGAAATGGCAACCTACTCCAGTATTCTTGCCTAGAAAATCTCATGGACAGAGGAACCTGGCAGGCTACAGTCCTTGGGGTCGCAAAGAGTCAGGCACGATTTAAAAACTAAACAACACAGTGCAGCAGTAAGCTTGTCTTTTCCCCGCACTTTCCTGCTTCTGGAGATTTCCCAACTAGCCCAAAGGTTTTCAGTTTTAGACAGACCTGTTTTTCTACCAGCTCTCTGTCCTTAGCTAACCATTTAGTTATCTGTAATACCAACCAGCTGTTTCATGTTCTTTCCATGCTACAGAAATATGTTTTATATCTTTGTATGCCCAGGGTTATTGTGAGAATAAAAATGAAAACATGAAATCTAAAATATTTGCATAAAATATAACATTACATCTAAGGAATTTTGTTTGGGTTTCATTTTTGGTCTTAGGAGATCGTAATTGCTTTTCTAATTACTTCCCAGTAGATGTGGCATATTTGTGGCAAGGAAATTAAGTTTAAATTATATAATGTTTTACATGTTACTGTATGAACATATATATTACATATGCACATAAATATTTTAAACACTATAAATTATGATTTATGTTTAATATCAGTTCAGTTCAGTCGCTCAGTCGTGTCTGACTCTTTGCGACCCCATGAACCGCAGCATGCCAGGCCTCCCTCATCATCACCAACTCCCAGAGTCCACCCAAACCCATGTCCATTGCGTTGGTGATGCTATCCAGCCATCTCATCCTCTGTCGTCCCCTTCTTCTGCCCTCAATCTTTCCCAGCATCAGTGTCTTTTCCAGTGAGTCAACTGTTCACATCAGGTGGCCAAAGTACTGTTTAATATGGTAAAGATAAAAATAGAAACAACAAAGGCCCTTTAATGCTTTCTTTTTATTACTGGTGTGTATATCTGTACCCTGAAATGATCTGAAACCAAATTCTCATTTATTCTTCATCCTTGGTATATATATATGTTGTTATAAAATATTACATAGAGAAATTGATTATTTGGATATCTCTATGAATTTATTTTAAAGACATGTTGGCTCCATGAGGATATAATTCATTTAATCCTTCTGAAATTAAAAAAGGAATGAGACATTTTTGGTAGAAATGTTAATATACATAAGTCTAGGAAAGCATACTGATATTCAGAGAAAATGCTACTAAATAACTTTTATGTAAAGAATGACCACCAGTTTGCCTTTTCCTTGTTTTTCTTTTATAATTGAGACTTTATTGGTTGTACACATTTCTTAATGTATGAACTGAAATTTTAAAAGGCATGTAGTTATAATTTCTTTTAAATAGTTATTCCAGTGACTTTCCAGCCTGACATTTGGAAGCAAATTTTTCTTAAGAGTATATCAAGTACCAATATCTTCAAATTTTGATAAACTATTACATCATAAGTCTCACTAGTTAACAGTTAACTAACTAACTAGTTTAATATCATATACACTACTGATTCAAATATTCAATCTTTCACAACACAATAACAAAGTTACTAGGGAAATTAGACTACTGCCACCAAAGATGTTATGGAGAACATGTCATTCTGACAAGAAGAGCCATGATCAAAGAGTGATTTCTGTAGGAAACCATTATACTAAAAAAAGATGAGAACAGACATAATATAAATGTTCAAGGCACAGTCAATGCACAACTGTAACTAGTATGCTAAGTATTATAGGATATAAAAACTACTGCCCTACCTATGACTATTTAATACTCAAGACTAACAAAACCTCCCATATTTAACATGTTGCTCTTTTCTGGTGTACCAAAACAAAAAAACCACCACCAATGGCAACCAGCAAGTGAGTTAACCTCTTAAAAATGAAGCATTTACACTAAGAAAAAAAAAAAATGTGATGAGGTGAGATTGCCTTTCTTAAAAGTGTTTCTAGAGCTAGTAAAATAAAAAAGGCTGTATTTACAAAATATTGATGAAAATATTCACTTGGATTGTCCTTAGAAGGGAGACGGGAACCAGTGATTAGATGTGGTAAGTACATGTGGACTTGGTTGCTTTAGTTGTGTCCAAATGTTGGTGACTATATGGACTGTAACCTGCCAGATTCTTCTTATCCATGGGATTCTCCAGGCCAGAATACTGTAGTGGTTTGCCATGCCCTCCTCCATGGGATCTTCCAGACCCAGGAATCAAACCCAAGTCTCATGCATCTCCAGAATTACAAGTGTATTCTTTACCCAGTGAGCTCCCTGGGAAGCCCCACATGATATTAATCAGACTTGGCCTCTTTCTACCTACTTCATGAGAGACTGGACTCTCCTTTTTTAGTTTCTCTGTTTTCCACAGCTCAATCTTCTTTATTATTGTGGTTAGTCACTTGAGGCTCTTTATCCTTTTCTTTGCTTTTCTTTTTTTTAGTGAAGATTCATCCTCTCTGGACGCCTTTTTGACGTTATTTACACTTTTGTGATAGAAGGTTAAATGACACCATCATCACTCTCCTCTTGTGATGCTTGATCACAACTCCCCTTGACAGATCAGACCTTCCTCTTGGGCATGCTGGTGATGATGGCTCCTGCCGTGTGCCCCGAGCCTGGACACCCCTGAACCTTCATGAACAGGCCGGCAGGGCCACTGCCACTCCTCGAACTGCCTGAGCGGCTGTGTTATTACACAGCAGGGGTGGTGGGAGAACCACTGGATGACCTGTTCCATTTTCTTGTCCTGTATTTTCATTAAAATTTCTTGGATGCTCATCAGATAGTATTGACTTTCATGGTATCTTCAAATATAAAGTTATTTTAAAGATGTGTTGCTTTTCATCACCAGTTGGCTATTCATAAGTAAGACAGCCCTTAACCTCCCGTCCATTGATTATCAATACAAGAGATTTTTTCTTTAAAACTAGAAATTCTCATCGAACCTTTGTCTCTTTAGATGCAGTAAAATCTTAATCCTAAAAAAAAAAAAAAAACTATCAGAGAGATTTCCTTATAGTGCTTGCAAAAGCAAAGGACATCTATATGGAATTTAATCAATTTGGTTGTTGTTTGCTCTTTAGCGGCTCCATTGTATCCAACTCTTTGCAACCCTATGGACTGTAGCCCGCCAGGCTCTTCTGTCCATGGAATTTTCCAGGCAAGAATACTGGAGTGGGTTGCCATTTGTTTCTCCCAAGGATCTTCCTGACTCAGGGATCAAATTCACTGCATTGGCAGGCAGATTCTTTACCACTGAGCCACCAGAGAAG